GGCGCCGCAACAGCGTTAAATGGCGTGCAACTGCCACATAACAATAAAATTAATTAAAATTTTGCATATTTTTTTACGATTGCTCATATTTTAATTGAATTGCCAAATGTGTGGAAAGCAAAAGTGCAAGAGTGAGTGTGGAGCGCGCGGCTTTGGAAGTGGGGCAAACAAAAAAAAAAATAATGGAGCGGAAAGTGTTGCCACGCCTGCTGTAATTGGCAATGGAAAGACATGTTGACGCTTGTTTAGCCACAAAAGATACTCATCGGCACTTACATAAATATTTTTATAGCTTTGTAGATTTTTCTTTTAGTTTTATTTTTATACTTATTTTATTTCTTAAACGGTTTCTTCCGCGCTTTTTGAGAAATGTCACCTGTCAGACCATATTTTTTAAACGCCAAATACTTTTTGACATAATAGTCCAATTACCTTATCGCACGATCGGTTTCGGTTGTCGTTCGCGTACGCTTAAGCATAGGTCGCTCAGCCGCAGTCCCAGCCTCATCTTCATTCTCATTGCAGCAGTGCAATGACTACTCACACACGTAATTTCTGGCTGCTGCTGCCTTAGCAACATCGACATTCAACGATTATTTATTGCAATTGCTGTGCCACAGCGCGACCGTGGCAATGGCATTCATTCAAGGCAGCAAAGGAAAGCAAAATAAAAGCAATGCGCACTGAGCAGAGCTTTGCCAGTGGCGACCACGCAACACAAATTCACCGCCGTTGCCTAAATTGCGTAAAAACATGCCACCACGGTAAGGACCATAGGGGGCCAACGGTGTTACCACCGCATGCCAACAACTCATTGGTTGCACTGGTTGCGTATGCAACATACTCAGATACGTGTATCGGTGTACTTAGCCGGCTTTCTTGGTCACATCTGTTGCAAATGGTAACTAGGAAAAACTAGTTAAAAGCCAAGCCGCAACGCATTGTCGCCGTCGTCATCGCTGCCACCGAACGCCGACCGCAGCCGCCATCGTCTCACCGGCGCGGCGACCAGCAATCGATTATTCTAAAGTGTCGATTTACGGCTATACAAAGCGGACGCTTACATGCACCGAAATGCCAACAAAAAACACTACATACTACAATTGTGTTGCACTAATATATTTATGTGTGCATGTTTGTGTCACAAACGCACAGCTCAAGTCGCAAATGAGCCCGCAGGGAGCACTCGGTAGCCTTACGCTAAATCGGCGCTTGCAACTAGTGGTCAATTGGAGGTAAGCAGGGATGCCAGGTCGTTGACGGAGCTGAATTGGTTCTAATAATCCAGAGCTTAAAAAATCACTGTCAACAAAGGTTGTACGCGGATAATAGCATATTCTTTGCCATCTCCATTTTTGGAATGTCCTATAGCAATTTGGATTTCAAATGTGGGGCTTTATTCCAATACATCATAAAGTGAATAACACCTTCAACAAAACTTTGAAATCGTCAAAAGTCCAAGCACCTCATGTACGTTATACCAACTAAAATCCCTCTGACGCTTCCGGTGCTGTAAACATAACACGGGTTGGTGCTCTTAAAGAATCCTCGAAGTAAAAATCCTGCCTTCTTGAAAAAAAAACATCCGCTTAATAGTTGTGGCTTCTCAAATTCTAGGTTTATGCCTTGTGGTGTAATGGGTTTAGAATATACCCGCGGTAAACACGTTTGTCGTAGACTGCGACTAAAATCCACTGATGTGACCGACCCGAATATCATTGGTGCACCTCGGGAATTAGGGGGATGACGGAAAGAAAGTTCTCCCAAACATCCAGGAATCTGTGCTAAATTCCACCTTAGCAGTTGAGTCAAACTGTTAAACTCTATGGTGGATACTTCAGGCGGTACCTATAAGAGTCGTACTTACCGCGAAGTAGCTGATTCTGGAGGGCCTAACCATCAGACAAGTCTCCAATTTGTACGCGACGCGCCGATTCTGGAGGTAGGAGCGAGTGATTTTTCCGCTTTATTCTTCTTCAGCCGCACGATCCGCTGAGGCGAAAGTAGTTATAGGCCAACGACCCCTCAGTGGTAGCGTAGGTCCAGCTTAATTTTTTCCACTCCAGTAGGCCATTGTACACGGAGGTTGCTTCCACAGAGAGTAGTGGCTCCTTGTGAGACGCGGGAGATCTTAAATCTACTAGTGATAGGCGCAAAAGGAAGGGTCTGGTGGCTTTCTTCCATACTGCCTAACCTGTTATTCTCACAAAAATGCCGATGGCACTCGAAAAGGTATTTTCGCTGCGTGGCGGGGTTTGTGCGGAGAACGCTGATTACACTGCTGTGTCTATGAAAGGAAGGCAGTGGTGGAACGAGATTGCCGTTTCAAAGCAGGCTCCTGTCGTCACAGATACTCTGGTTCCAAACGGAGTGTTCCGCCGGGTTCGGGTGAGTGAAAGTAAGGGCCGCTTCGGCTATGGTAAGGTACCTGCTCGGCGAAAGCCTCGTCTGTCCTGTGACAGTAACCCAAATAAGCCGGAAATATTCCAAGGCGGCTGCTTATCTTATTAGTAAACGTCTGATAATGCTGCTTGAGAAATCCTTCATATCAGCCTTGGGTGTTTAAATGACGACAATGTGGATTGAATGGCTTAAGTGGGGTCAACATCCTATTCATTGAGACCTCAGTCGGTGTTTTGAGAACTCGTGCTTGTCCTAGTTGAGAGTAAAAAAATTTCTGCTTTCAGCTCTTGGCTGTGGAAGGTGGCTGGACTGGAATACTGCGCCAACCCAAACGTTGGTTAGAATGTGTGGACAATAGGGGACAACAAGCTTTTCGAGTATATCTTGTATTGTTACCTGACCGTTGACGGCAGCCGACCTACATTAATTACTTCTAGAAGCTAAGAGGTGATTGATATACCTCTTTCTAACTTCGCGTGGAGTCGTGAATTTTAAACTGTAGAGTCCTGACCACAGGCTCTGTGCTAGCGTGAAATTTTATTAAAAAACGGACTGTCTGTATACTAGGTAGAGCTTCAGAAAGCGAGTATTGCGCCACCTAGAACTCGATCCACAGAGGGCATTGATGAAGCGGTGGTTAATGCAACGGGCTGCCTTTCGTATTATTTGGGATAACGCCACACGCTCTCAAAACCCATGGCAACCTTGTTCGAGTACACACTTCCTTGTTTTATTTTTTCTATATTCTAGCCTGCCCGCCTGCTAAGTTGCCACAGTGCCACACTGTATGCTGCGCGAAAAAATATCTTATTACTTGTATGACAGTTGTTTTTGCGGCGGCAAAAGTGATCTACAATAGTAAATAACAGGTAAGTAAGTATACAGTTGTTGCACAACAATCCAACCGCCTACCAACTTCCCATTGTTATTGTTATTTTTGCCTAAGATTGCATCCTACTGTCGGGGCGTAACCAGCGATCACATATATTTAATCGAAACGCAACGCATATCAACGCCGCAATACTATCTGCCATTCGCAATCGCTGATCGCCGTTGATCGCCAAGTGCTGATCTCCAACTGTTGATCGTCGATCGCAACGATGATCGCAGAGCACTGATTTTCCATTTCCACTGCGTTGGACAAGAACAAAACTGAAGGCAATTTCGTAATTGTTGAACTCCTCAATTTGATTGTTGTTGCCGGCTGTGGCATGATTGCCCCCTGCCGCATGGGTGAATATCGCTCTAAGTATGTGTGTATGTAGACATGTATATTTTCGCTATTATTCCCGGAATGTGCTTGCTGATATATACATATGTATATATATACACATAACTATGTACATACGTAAATTTTCATTTAATGGCTGCTGAGTTGCACTTGCCACACGATCGTTTAACTTTTGTCATTTGTTGCTGTTGTGTCCCAGCGATTTTTTTGTTGTACTTTTTTTGTGTTCCGATTGGATTGTGATTTAGTTGCAATTGTTGCACATGTACCTTTGCGGCGGCCTATTCAATGCATTGCCGCCCAGTTGGTATACGCAACTTACGCGGCATTTTGCAATTGATGTTGAAGCAGTACAGTGTGTTGATGAGCGTGGGAAAATCAAAATATTAGAGTTATTATAACACGATTGTTTAAGCGGCCTGGCATAATTAATAGTCGGTGGTAATATTGAGGCCTATTTTGCGTGATATTGCGTACAGATTCGGCAAATGGTGAGTTTCAGTCATTAGCGCACACAAGGGGTGGGTTTTGGGGTTCAAACCCCCCCTAAAGCTAATAACCTCAAATACAAACTCAAGAAAATTATAAGAAATATTTATTATAATTTCTGTTGCTTGAAAAAGCGCTTTGCTTTTGCTGTAAATTTTCATGAGGAAATAAATATACGAGCATTTTTTTCTTGAGAGCTGCAAACTGATTTATGAAAATTTGGTAGAAGAAAATTTCTTTTCCATTTCTCGTCCGTCGTTTTATATGAATTTTTCGTTTTTCTTGAGAGTTCAGTTAATTTTTTCGCAACTCGAAATATTAAAAAAATTTAGCAATGGTGAAAAATCACCATCTATCGAAAACCAGAAACCAGAAATCGAAAAAATGAACATAAAAGTGCAAAAATTCATGGAATCAATAAATTTATTTTTACTGACTCTTTTTTAAAATTTTTTATTAGGTACTTTTGAAAGTTGAGCGCATCTTGAGTTTATAGAACTTTTTATTAAACAAGTAGTTTTTAAGGAAAGAACACAACCGACTTCAATTCTCATATACAAATTTAGGGGTACCGTTAATTTCTTCGTGATCCAATCATCGGATCTCTAAACCAAATTACGGGTACCATCTTTCCAATAAAAAAATGATTATTGAAATCGGTTCACGTGGTAAAAAAGTTATGTATTCCGGCGAATTGATAACCTCCCTTTTTTTGAAGTCGGTTAAAAGTGTTTGAGTTCTGTTAATCTTATGTAAATAAAGTGCAGTTTATGAATTTTAAAACGTTTATTTATTTATTACATACTGTACATAAAACTTGCATAAATGTATTTTAAAGAGCGTATTATCACGCAAATTTTCAGTAATTTCCGGTGATATATCTTCAGAAATATAAAACCCCCCTAAAATATATTCCTGGGTGCGCCCCTGGTTTCAGTTATACTCGATAATATCCGACGATGAAGAGATGATTGAATTCAGGTTCTCGCAAGTTTCCTAGGTAGGAGCGTAAGACCTTATCCGGTTATAATCCCAGTCTAGCAAAGCTGTCTATACTGATGGCTCGCAGACAAAAAAAAAAGAATTGGATCAGGCAGTCATCTGGAATGACACTTCAAAGGATTGTGCACAAAAGTTAAAAAAAATGACAACGACTTACCTTTATATAATGGAGGCTTTGAGGACAACTCCAATGGCTACTTTAGAAATATTACTGTTCTTGTCGGCGATAGACCTTGAGTTAAAGAATCTTGCGGGAAATGCAAAGTAACTTCAGGCATAGCTCAATAGGCTTGAGGAAAGTTTGTGATACGGATTACATGGCACCGCGTGCCAATTGGGAAATCGTGTACCAGGCACTAATCTAAGAAAAAGGGTGGAATAAGGACCATCATTTCCGCCATATACTGTTTATATTTACAGAGATGGTTTAAAAATGACGCGCAGGGTAAAATTTGGAGTTGGAAAGAGTTGAGTCGCCATATCTCAGGCAGGGGTTTTTTGTGATTAGGAAGGCTACGGAATTTACTTACGTTGGAATGGAGGCAGCGATGGAGACAACAGCAAGGAAGCAATGGAGAGATTAACTATCTATTTGTTTAAAGGCCATGAGGACATCGAAGGAAAGAAAATAGTGGAAGTAATTTCCAAAGACTCAGTTTCCTTGGAAAACTAACATATAAAAGGGTGACATAAAAACATATCTTCAGAGGTAGATCGAGAAAAATATCAATACAGTTTGGCTACCTGCAAAACTGTATATATAATGTGCAAACCAAACGAAGATACGTACACGTTATTCTTACTGGCGTTATCAGGTAAAGATTGCAGTCGGATAACGTGTTTACTGACAGATCACTGGCTACTTGAGTCACACTCTCGTTTCTCCTATCAAGTGCAAGCTTGCCAATGTCCGCTAAGAGCTCCTGTGTGGTGCGCACGTAGTCAATATGGCCTGGGAGCTCTCGCAGGAGCTGGGACCTGTGCTTGTTCGAGTTGCTGGTTGGCCGGCAGGACCGTTATCGGCTCAGTCGCTAGGGAAGCAGTGGAGTCAGCTACCGCGTCGACTTGTATGTCCTGCGATTTTGACTCCTTGCTGTCTTTTTCCGGAACGGCATCGCCGTGACATATCTGTATCGATTAACGTTGAAGCCGGCTCTGTGGATGTCCTCGTTCTGGACCCTTTTAAGACCTGTCCATAATGGCATCCTGCAGTCTGTGTAAGTCCACAGGGCACAGGGTAGCAGCATGGTAATCACAAGGCAGCACTGCTTCAGCATAGCTGGGCTGCTGAGTGGTCCTTGATTACTTTTTGCCATATAAGCAAGTGTGTCCCGAAGAAGCCGGAGTTTTTTGAAAGTCTATTTCGCTCCTCGTCCTATCTATTGTTGGTTGGTTGACGACAGAGCTTCCTAGTAGCTATCTATGTATGTAGGATATAATTAGCGAATTGTGGTGCCCTTTGATGTACCTCCCGTGAGAAATGAGTTGTATCTATGTAAATAATAGATTGTTTGGTGGAATAATGGGGCTTCTTTCACTCACCCAACTTCGCTTATAGTGGTTCCTGATAAATGCTGTAAACTTTCTTCTAGCTGGTGTTTGCAGCTCGTTCTGTTATAGGCAAGTCCTCGATTCATTAATCAGATTCGACGTCTTCGTCCTGATATTTTCAAGCCAGATGGCCACAGCTTTCTTTACGTATTGCATGTTTATATATATGAGACCATATTATTCTGGGCAGTCTGAGGAAATTTAGATTAATTTCGCCGTGGACAATTCCAGAAACAGCACCGCTTCATATTCATAAAAAGAAAGTATCTTACTTTTGCCAATTCATTAGCTCACTGATTGCCTCTGATGTTCCTATATGAATATGTCCGGGAATCCATGCAAGAGAGATGTTGATTGATTGACACACTTAACGCAATTTCATTTTGTATATCCTGATAAGCTTAGATTTGGTAACCGGCGATATTATCGCTAAAAATGTCACCAAGCTGAACTCCTTATTTTTGTGAAACTCTTCCAGCATACGATTTTATTGGATTGAAAGATGGTTGCATCCTTTGCCAGACGTAGAGATAGAGCGGCACCGAGTTTTTCCTCGTAGACTCCGGCTTCTAAATACTCCACAGTCCATCCTCAGCACATCGGTGTAGAGAAAGTCAGCCTCCTTATCGATCACTCGGTCTCTGCTCCATTAACTTCTGCATGGGAATCGAAATTGAACGTTACAGTTAAGTCAAGTTTGTCCACCATTTAATCTGTCGTCTTTAATATTTACATAATTGTATTTCGTTATTGATCAACACGCACCCGAATTGTCTAGTTACCCACAGCCCTGACGTTTTGGGCCTCCGATTAGAAAGCCAATTCTTCCAATTGAAGGTCGTTAGGGATACGATTGAGGATAGCGTTTATGGCTTCTGTCTGGTAAAACCCTAATTTACTAACATTATATTGTTGGTGTAGTCTGGGCCACCAAACCAGGACACCAAATGTTAGAATTGGTCGTTTTTGTCTTAGTTTCTATTAGGCATTGCCTACGTGCCTTTCTGGCTCCAATTTTAGATGTTGATTTCTCAGGGTCCGTAAAAAAATATATGTATACATATGTACATATAACATAATTCCTTCATATCATCACACTGTACTTACTCGCATTAGATCCCAAAATGGTCTACGCCTCCCTTTTCCGCTAGCCACAGATGTTAGGTGTGGGGTACCTTCATACCCACTGTGTCGCAACTGCGCACCATTATCGTTCGCATATCGCTGATCGTGCGATTCTCAATTGTTGACCGCATCGCTGCGCATTAACGCGCAATTTCGTAAACACAGATGTTTGTAAGTAAACATATACCCTGTTGGAAAATAGCTCACTGAAAAAATTGTCATCGCCGAAGTCACTAATGCCGCCTTACGAGTATATCTGAAATTGTAGCTGAAAAATTAAGTCATTAAGTCTCAAATACTTGAAATTTAGCAGGAAGACATTAACTAGCTGATAGAACTGAGAAACTCGGTCGGCATGGACAAAGAGCGTGATGTGTCAAGCTCAGTGCCACGTCTGGTAGGAAAATCTAGCAAAATATTCCCTTCTTTCTAACAATCCTGGATGACACTTATGTTAACGAATGCTTTCCATATCACGCATGGGGTTTGTACTAGAGTCAGGTGTCAGTTTCCAACTGGGTACCTAGTACGTTCGCATAAGAACCTACAAAAATGAATACGGTATTTATGTGTGTAGTTATGTAAGTGTAAGTAAGTGCCTCCACTCATATGTTGGTGTCAATTAACGCCAGCCATTCTGCTGTCCACTTCAATTCAACTTCTGTGCACTTTAAGCTTTTGTTCGCTTATTTTCTACTCAATGTTGTTGTCGTTGTTGTTGTATTCCGCAGCTTTTATTGAAAGATTTATGAAATTGACTGCCATTTGACCATTTCGTTCGCAATTTAATGGAGTCAACGGTGTCAGTTAATAGACCAGTAGGCCGTACCGTGTGGCGGCGGCATTAATGCAACCTAGGCAATTTTCTCTCGCTGCCTTTGAGTAAGTAAATCTGGCATTATTATTATAATTTTGTATTTTTTTTTTTCAGATGCTTCGTCGGTATAGTAATAAATTTTGTTGTACTTGTTTTGCGTAAGATGAGCGGCAGTGTGGAAATGGCTAAGAAAAAAATAATACTAGCAATAATGAGTAGGTACATATCTACTCGGTAATTTTCTTCAAATACCGAGTATTTTTGGTATCTATATTTTTATACCGAGTACTGAGAAGGTATCGAAAGAGAGTGCTTGTATCGAAACTCGAATCGACAATTTTATTCACCGGGCTACATTTTATATATTTGAGGAACATGAAAAGGTAGGTATTATAGCTTTGGTTCGATGTTTATAAATGGCATACGCCCGACTGAAATTTTGTATACGGCTATCTTTTATAATGTACTAGTTTTAACTCACCCGCTTTGCTGAGTGTATGAAAAATCTGCTTGTTACATTCGAAATAATTTATTTTAATAAATCTTAACAATTCGCTTCATCCAAGTTGAATTTGCTTCTCTACACTGGTGGCAACTTTTTCACTTATAGTTTAGAAATAAAGGCGTTTCGAAAACATTTTGATACTAATGTGATTAATCTATCTGGAATCTAAGAAATAACAGCGAGCAAACTCAGCTACAGCTAAAGGTATGTAAACGTACATTTCTTACAATCATTCAAACAAAGTTAATTTCAAATTGAAAACACATTTCTTTCAAAATAACTTAAAATCGCACAGACGGAAGAACCAAAAAGATTGAAAAATCATGATACTTTTTTCTTTCGTCTGTCGATTTTAGAACTGGTTCGGAACTATAGAATTTAGGACTAGTTCGGAACTATCGAAAAAGGGATGCAGCGGGGGGCAATTGACACTTCCTAGGACATCGCCATGTTAAATTCGCCAGTTGCTTGCATGTAAAAGAGATTTATCGCGAACCAGTACTGGTTCTAAATGTACTAGAAGCGCACCAGCTCAGAACTAGAGATTTTCCCTACAGGGTATAAACTCAACTCCAAAATGACGAGTGGGACATTTTAACTCGTTTTTGCTCAAACTTTTAGTAAATTCTCTTTAACCATTGATTGGACAAGTGTAAAACTTTTAGCACTTGAAGTCAGATATCAGTTTAATAAGAAAGTATGAAACGTAATTATGTATAAAATTTACATAGAAATTTAAAATTTTCCAAGCGTGACGGGTGGGACAACGATGACAACCGCTTCTCTGAGTTGTTGTATTCGTTTCCCAATTTTAGACAAACTATGAATGTTTTATTCATAGCGACTTTTCCGAATGTAGTTATTAGAGTGTTAAATACATTTTTATACTTTAGCGGCATTATTATAATTAAAAATTAAAAAAAAACTCTTTTTATGTACCCCTTACCGTATACTGTTTAGATATGAGTTCTTGCGATATGTGTAACTCCTTTATGTAAGCAGTTAAAACCATGATATTGTATTGTATATCTCCCATACCGCTTATAACTTCTGCAAGAGCCTAAAATCACGATAGAAATCCACTAAAAACTTTGATATTTTTTTCAGTTCGAGGTTTTTCATTTTTCAAAATTTTCCAGAAACTTTCTTTCAACTTTGGTTTTCATGCATACCATTACATCGGATAATGGTAAAGCCAAACTATATGCTACATGTTTTTAATTCTTTGATTATGTCGAGATAACCGAGTATCAAAAAAGCTCAAGGTTTCGTAGATTTTCCCAATATGAATATTTAGGGAGACTGCTAGATTTAATACCCATTAAATAGATGCCAATTATTTACATAATTTTTTTAATACCAGCGATTTTTTATGGGTCCTCCACTACATTTTTTGCGATTTTAGGGGTCCTAAAATATTTAATAATAGAAAATGGTTAAATAAACAATTGCGTATTGTTATTGGAAATCTCCTGAAGAGAGAAAAAGTTTTCCGATCGAAAAGTATTGATTTTAAAGAACTCTATACCATTTCTATGAAAACTTTTTTTCCCTATTTAAAGTACATGGGAAATTTTTAGCGCTTTGAGCGACCTCTAAATATTGTTTGATATAAAATAAAAAACAGGGATCTACTTTTTATGGTATAGAACATTACTAAGGGGTGTGTGAATTTAAATTCCGACTTTAATTTTTTTGAACCACCCTAACGAACACACTAAAAATAACACAATATAAGTACTTGCATTAAAAACCATTCCAGTGAACACCTGTGAATGAAGTAATTGCGAGAGAACTAATGAACTAATATTTCCTAGATATTACAATTAATATAATTTTATTTATCCCGTAAGCGTTTTCAAATATATGTATTGCAAAATGAAATGAAAAATTTTCCATTATTCGTTGAATTGCAAGTGCATTACTTATGCATATGAAATACTCATAGTTTTTGTTTTTGCTATGCTTTGCTTATAAAACCAAAACTAATTGTTGAATGGCACGACAAAAAACAAAATTAGATCTTCACGTTCCGCTTGATAGTGCCAGCTACTGCAGACCGACACAGGGTTCGATCAACAACACCTATCTGTTCTAATGCGCCGATTTAGATTTGCATTCGCGCTTTAAGCGCTTAGATATACTATGTACTTATGTATGTATGATATGTCTACGATTGAAAAATGCTCGACTCGATTAAGATCAATTCGTTAGGCCCTTTGTCGCATTGACGCGCCCAGCTGCACTTTAGGGCAGGGTTAAGCTGCCAAGTGTGCCGGTTGGGGTGAATGTTAGTGTCTCTAGACCACACAGGTTGAGCTACAGGATTTAGTTAATTATATACAAATCGTATGATATTAAATAATAAATTCAAAATTATTAGTATCAAACGTGAAATTAAATGTGTGCAATTATGATTTCTTGACGGCAAAGCGTTTGTATTTCTTAGCGCGAATATTCTATTCTAATTAGATAAAGATACCGCTGATGTACATTTGTAAGCATTAAGTCACATAAATAATAGAAGTGAAAGAAATATATGCTTGTACATTAGAGTGGTTCGCGAAAAAAAAGTTAGTTATTATTAAAAAAAAAATCTTATTCCATACATACTTACATACATATGGTAGGTATAAATTATGAGCCTGAACTTGGTGCCAATAAAAATAATATGGATTCGGAATTCATTTCAAAACTGTTTTATACTAAAGCAGAGTACCCGACGTCGTTTCAGGGCGAAAAAACCACTGATTAAATATTTCACGCCTATGAGATATGCCACGCTTCCTTGTACAAACTCATTTATCTTTATGCACCGTATTATGTGCGTCTTCCATAGTTATGCCTTTACACCAAATTTCAAAATAATTTCATTTATGGTTCCAAATTTTTTCGCTACACCTTAAAAATATTTTAGTGTTGTTACTCCCTCCCAAACCTCGTAACTCATAAAAAATAAAATATAGATATTAATGCTGGTATTCAGTAAGTGATTCTCATTTCAAGTCACTAAATTTGAGACTGAGCAATTAGTTACTCAAAGTTCACCAAAAATGTGTGGTGAAGACAAGCACAGACTGTCAACGGATAGCATATATGTATGTATGTATGCATTTTGCTCGTGCTGGTCCAAGAGTCGCATTGGCCGAGTGGCCAAAGCACTAGGGCCGATCGTTCAATGTCTGGTTATCATTACCTCCCAGTTAAACATCGTAATCGACGTTTTCGACATCAAAACAAAAAAAAAAGAAGTTCAATAGGGGTATTTTCTGAGTTTTGCAAAGCCCTTACGGTTTTCGTATGGGACAGCTTTGCAAACCGTGCACCGTGCAAAGGCTTTGCAAGACTCAGAGAATACCCCTAATGAATTTTTATGATACTAAAACATTTTGGTGTATTTCCTAATGAAGTTGTTGTTGAACAAATATTTTTTTCGCTTCATTATCGCGTTTTTTAAATAAGCAATTAGTGACAAATTAGTGATTTTTGTTTCAGACTACAGACGTGAGACAGCTTACTGAATCCCAAATAGGCTCAAAAGCCATGTTCACAACCAAAAGTCACTATCAGTGACTAGAGAATGCTTACTGAATACCAGTGCTAAAGGTCATCACGGAGGGAGATTTTCATACAAATTACCGATTCATAAAGCATTAAATTTGTTTATATTGAAGCCGCGTATTTGCTAGTTGCAGATGTTTCTAAACGAAAGATTTCTCAAATACCTTTCGTTTGACACCTGTATTGTAATATTTAGCTGATTTTATCAATTTACTTAAACTGAAAATTTCAAAGGATGGCAACCCTGTAATTTTTGTTTAACCACCCGCGTGATATCC